TAATCTGATTGTAAGATGTAATTCTTAGATTGACTAGGATAGTGTTTTATTTCTAACATAATATATAATCATAAAAAATGTATATTTATTTGAATTCTGTTTTTGAAGCTGTCTTTATTATTTATATATAATCTTTATACATAAGTCTTTCATATTTTTATTTAATATATATAATTTTTTATGTAATTCATATATAATTCTTTAATGATAAGATATTTCAAAAATTTATAATTTTTGATTTTTGATCTCAAATTTTCAGAAAAATTCCAAATAATTATGAAAATTTTATTTTTGAACTTCCAAAATTTTCAATAAATTAACAGTATGTTGTTCTAAAGTGTCAATCTAGTGAAAAATTTGCTATATATTAAGAATAAAGTTGATCTTGAATTTGATTTAATATAATTTGTAATTTGAATATATTATTTCACGTTTTTTTCCAAATTTCGGTGATTTTGGGAAACCCAAAAAATGTAAACATCCTTATGAAATCTTTTAAGATTGTGATGTAAATTGACTCAGATGATTATACGCCAGAACTGTCAAAAGTTTATGAACCGTTATTTTGATCGTTTTAGCATAAATATCATACTACGTTCATTAAGTACAAATTTCTTAGATTTTACAAAGAAATAAGCACATTTTTTGAAACAAATTATTATTTCAAATATGTAAAAATAAGGTGCATATATTTGCATTTTGGAGTTAAGACTCACAACCTAATTTAATTTTCTTCAAATGACACAACTTAAATTTGATGATAACTTGAAGGAAGTTCAAAATATGAGATTCGATGATTCCATTAATTAAATATTACGCATGCTTGAATAATAAGTAATGCTTAAAATAGTCATAAGTAAAAAAAGTGTCAATCTATCTCATTTAGCAGATGCAAAAATTCTTCTTTCATTATTGTAATCCACGAACATCTTTGAAAATCATAAATGAGCATCATTAAGCTTATCTAATCATCTTTGCTGTCATTGTACTTAAGAAACGATGACAGCAAAGATGAGATAAGCTAAACTAAACTATATTCTAAATGAAATTGTCTTTAAATGATCAAAAGAATCATAAAGATTCAATAACATCATAGCAATCAGATTTTTGATAGAATGCAATAAAAGCTCAAAATTTTTTTACACAATGATTATCTGGCTTTATTAGAGCCAAAAATACACTAAACATAGTATTTCAAACTGATTGTTTATTGTTGGGATTCTGATCAAACTGAACAATTGAAACTTATGCTTTGGAACATAGAAAAAAATATACAATGTTATATCTTTCACATAAATTTAATTATATTGAAAAAATTTTAGCTGCTGTTAATTTTTCATACTTGTAAATAAATAAAAAATATCAGTCATGACTTTTGACTTAGATAATGATTTAGTATTGTATGTGTATGAATTAGCTCATGCTACATACATGCTGCAAGACCTACAGTTATCACTTTGCAATAGAATATGCAGATCACATATTCATACCATACTCAAATATGAATTTAAGTTTATAATTACAATCTTCATATAATCGCACTATAATATTTCCAAAATCTATAAAAATATAATCACAATATATTACATCCAAGTATTATGTTATTTGAAATAAATTGAAGCCGTATTTTATGAATTTTTTTCATTATGCAAATAAAGCTTTAGAAAACTTAATTGTATTAAATATCACTATAATAGACGATCTTATTTAAAAAAATATTTATTTGATGATAAAATACACGCATTTAAATAATAGTCATGTGCATTTATAAATTCTCAAAGTTTGCAAAAACCAAAGTTAGTCAATTAGCTTTTTGATTTTAGCGTTCAATAGTCATACATATCCTATTTGTATCAGTTTGTATCAACACTTTGTATTCTAATGTAATAATATCATATATTGTAAAATTCTTTATTCTTTCTATATATCACTTTATATTAATAACCGTATAATTAGTTTGTTTCACTCTTTATGTATTAATATGAGTATATTTGTATCATTTTGTATCGATAATTTGTATAAATTGTAGCAAAACTGCTTCAATATTTTGCTTTTGTGGAATATTATCATCATGTTGTATCAAAATTTTATATCATTATATTTCAAAAATATATATAAGAGATACATATATAAATTGAACGTATAATTCATATTTTTTTAATTTTGCTTCATATATTACTTTGCTTTTTTAAAGGTAAGGTGTTGATGTTAAATCTTTTTATATTAAAATAAAGGATCCATTAATTATGTAAATTTGGATTACAATTGACAATTTTCATGACATCAATAAGCAAGTTTTTTAATCAATAAAATATTTGGGTCATTAATGCATGTCAATAAATTCATATCTTGCATTTTAAGTAAAATTTTAAACTCTATATATATTATTGAAGCTAATATGACAAACATAATAATTAGCATAAAATATTTTTAAAAATTAAATTATGTGTATGACTAAAAAACAAAAATTTAAATAAAATTTCTTTTTAAATTCAAATTTAATATTTAATTGAATATCCATTGCTATGTGTAGCAATGGATGTAAAATTTGATGTATATACTTGATACAATTTTTATACTTAAGAAAAAAGATTGTTTCAAAGAATATTAGTCAATGTATTCCAAACAACAAAAATGACGTATCACTAATTTTTACAAACATGAATCGAGTTGGCATTTGCGAAGTAGATTCTTTTGACAAAGAGTTACTGGAAGAAGAATAATCAATGCTTTCTATATTTCAGCAAACATAATATATGATATATCATTCAATGTGTAGATATAAAATCATGTTATTTTAAAGATATTAAAAAATAATAATAAAGAAAAGAAAGTAATAACAATAACAATCAGAAAACTACTTCATGATGCTAGTTTTGAGATGTAAAATGTTTTTGCTTTATTTTTTGAAAAATTTTTAATCTTTTTTTAAAATTACCTTTTATTTTTTAAAAAAAATTTAAATTTTAAAGATTGAACCAATAAAAAACTCAATATTTTAAAACATTTTCTTTTTAAATCACAAATTTTTTTTCACGATGAATTGTTAATATGTTGGCTACAACAATTAATGTTTATCAAATCATAGATATTTGATTTTCAAAAAAACAGTGGGGATGAATTTTGTAATGATCATTATTTATGATATATATATGAGTTTGTTAATAAATACAAATATTCAATCATGATGATATGAATCTTTATGTATATAAAATAATATTATCATACAAGGTATTTATAATTTGGAAGTTGTTATACTTTGTATCAATTTGTAATAAAATTTATTTTTAAATTCGTGTTATCTTGTTGACTAATATTAATGTCAAAAAAATTTGCAATAAATAATGTAAGCGCTTTACACATTGATTATTTAGTGCACTTTTAACATTTTTTATAAGTAACATATGTTTAAAACTTATGTTTTTTTATTTTTTAAAGTATTATAGCCATTCTTTTTGCTTTGATTGAAATTTAAAATTGTTAAAGAAATCCGTATTATTATCCCTAAACCCTAAACTTTTTATCTGCTAGAAGCAAAATAAAGTTACACATTAAATTTTCTTGTAGTTTATGTTCAAATAGTGTTGAAAAAACTAAGAATTCATGGTTAATCATTTGCAATTTAGACAAAGATATGATGGTTGATAGAAAATAGTTTATCTTCTCAAGCCGCATCAAGAGATGTAACATGAAATACGGATAAACTAGTTGAAATGTGTTTTTATTAAAACCTTCTCTATAGAAGTATGACATATAGATAGATGATGTATGGATGGATAATCTATGACAAAGAAGACAAGAAGATGGATGAGTAGCTTATGAGTTAACAAGATGTACTACTCCTTTGTCAACAATGGAGCTAATGCTTCAGGGATGAAATAAGTTGTCATGAAAGTCTCATGAGCAGTGTGAACTGCTCTTATGCCAGTTATGAAAGCGCAATATGTGATAAGCAATTATGCTTCCAAGTACTATGATTCACATTGCTGAAGATGAGAACTCAGAGGAGAGAAGGATGCCCATAACCTCGATGAATAATAGAAAGAAGCGAGAAGACAAAGTGATTAAAGCTTTTCATTTCAATATGTGGACAGATTAGAAAATACATGATAAAGATTCGTCTAGAAAAGTGGTCTATGAGTGACTCGCAATCTCATTATTGGCTTGGTCCAATCAATATCCACTAGAACCAACGTATCATGGATTTTGGAAATATGTTATTCAGAGAACTACTAGTAGATATGAATGTCCAAAAGGACAACTCTTTCTACCGGAGCCACCCGATAATGTTGAGGATTTGCTAAAATGACACCCCATGTGATCAGAATTTCGGTGAGATACAGTGTTGCATTGAGAATAAACTCAAAATTTGAAGTATGACATGAAGTATGACAGGTCACAGTAGTGAGGAGAGAATTTTATTAGATCAAAATTATAAATGAGAGCATACCGAACATGATGAAGGTATTTAAACCCGTCCAAAAGGATAGCTGCTAGAGGACAAGTCCATGTGTATCCCACTAACCGGCCTACCTCTTGCTATATCGAAGAGCGCCACCAATGTTAACATTCGTAGAAACCGAGTGTGTTATTTTTATTACAACTCATCCGTATGATGACTCTCCTCAAAATGCTAACGCAGCATAATAAAAGTTTATTGTAATTCTTTTGGTTCTACTATCTATCTCTCCATAATCAAAAGAGTTCATGGCTACATTTTCTAGTATAATACAAGTCCTTGTAGCGCGAACTCAAGTTATACGGAGGTCATAAATATATGTGATTTGGTATTCAAAAGCAAGATGTCAGCGGTTTCGAGAGGCATGAGAACAGCGTTCCGGTGTAAATTCAAGTCGTGCAAGTAAGAAACTCGAACAATAAGAATGTATTATTGCTATGACAAGACTGCAGAACGGGCAATGGAGTAGTGTAGTGTAGTATGGCCGACGTAGTATGGATTACGTGGTAGCAGCTGTACGTGGCGACCGTGCAGGGATGGCGCTTTATAGAGAGGGAGAGGGGAGCGGGTCGCTTGGAGGCTGCTGCTGCTGCTGCCGGGACGAACAAGACGAGAATTGTTCGAACATTTGAAGGAAAAGAACTGAATCAGATCGAAGGGCACGAAAGGAAAACGGCGAACTGGGGTCGTCGTGAGAACGCGGAGGGAGGGAGGGAGGTGGGGGAGGGAGGGAGGAGCATGCCAGTATGGCAGCGAGCCGCCACCACAACATGCCACTGCCGTCCGCGAGGTCGAGAATGGCGTCGTCTTCGGCATCGGATCAGCAGCGCGACCGGGAGCGCGAGAAGTTCTTCGGGGCGGGAGGAAGTGGGCGCGGTGAGAGAGATTTCTATGGTGCTCCTGGTGCCGGAGGAGGACGGGAGAGGGAGCACGAGAGCGCTGAACGATCCGAGCGGGGAGGTGATGGAGGCAGGGGTGGTGATAGAGGAGGTGGTGGAGGCGGAGGGTTAGACAGAGGCGACTCCAGAGATAGAGAGCGGTCGAGGTCCGAAGGCTTCTCTGTGCGTGATTCTTCTAGGGATGCTCTGAGGAATCCTTCGTCCCGGGATGATCCGGGCGTTCGAGAGTCTGTGCGCGATTCTGCTGGACGCGAGAAGGATCGAGATCGTTTTAGGGATTGGGATTCGTCGACAGAACGAGCCAGAGAAAGGGAGCGAGAACGGGAGAAAGTGAGAGAACGGGAGAGAGACCGAGAGAGGGATTCAAACCACAGCAGACAACAGCAGCTGCGACGAGGATTAGTAAGCGGCGATAGCGGCGAGGGAGATCGTGTGCCGAGCCCCTTGTTTGGAAGGCCACCTTTAGCTTCGTCCTCCACGGGAGTTTCCAGTTCTTCTCAGTCGCAGGTTAATGGGCCGCAGTCGAAGGATTCTATAAATGTCAGGGAGAGTAGGGAGACTGAGGCCAGGAGTTCTTTAGTCAGCATGGGGCGTCAAACGGGAAAGGATGGGGATAGGGAGCCGGGGGAGCTGCCGACTAGCGGTGGTAGGGCGGAGGAAGACAACTGGGGCTCTGATTTTGCTACGTCGCAAAGAGCAAGATCCTCGGCCCGGTCGATGAAGAACTCGGAGCCTGACGGAGGTCCCTCCCGCAGTCCTCCGAAAAAACGAAAGTTTTCGCCTATTGTTTGGGACTACGATGAGAAGCAAGCACGTCCGAGTAAGGTCTCTAGCGTGTCAGGTGCACCTTCGACTGCAACCTCCATGTCGAGGTTTAGTTCTGTTCAAACCACAACGCAAATATCTGTTCAACAGGTGACTACAGCTGTTCGAGCAAGTCCTGTCTCTCTTCCGAATAGCAATGTGTCACCTCCACAACCCTTATCTGGTGCCCGGGTTTCAACATCACCTGGTTCCACAGGAGTTTACGTAGAGCGGACTAGTTCTCCCAGTAGCTCACTGTCGGCTCACTCGCCACCTCGGGATGAGAACAAAGATTCTCCCATGCTTTTTGAAAGCACAAATGAGGAAACCAAAACCCCAGACACGCACATGCAGGATGAAACTATGCCTTCTCCAATGTCAGATGATGGGCCCGAGCCGGGCCAATTGCTACCTGAACACGAGAGTCCTAAAAATGAAGATGAAGAAGATGCACCCGTTCCCATCACCATTGCAGCCTCTCGCTGGGCCGAGGAATCTCAAACACCAGAAAGAGAGAAGTCTCCCCGATCAGGTGTGGGCAGAGGAAGAAAGCGACGCTCATCTAGTGTTGAGAGCGAGGAAGAACGACAGTCGCTGGGTCAGGATGGCGCACATTTGAATAGTGGGCCAAGTACTTCTCCTGAGCCAGGTGAGTACATCCGGGAGAAGTCTGATATAGGTCGGGTGAAAGAGAAAGGTAATGAGAGTGATGGGAGCGTAGGACCAGGAAGTGGCGGGAAAGACCGGGGCAGTGACTCTGTCGAGGACGGGGAGTATGAAAGGGAATTGAACAAGAGAGAGTTGATGGAGTTGGATGACGAAGATTTTGATGACGACGAAGAAGAAGAGCAGGTTCCGGAAGTAGAATCGGAATTTGAAATGCCACCCACGCCTCCTGGCCCTCAAATGCGAGCAATTGATATGCTTCAAGGATGTAGAAGCGTAGATGAATTTGAAAGATTGAACAGAATCGACGAGGGCACGTACGGTGTAGTGTACAGGGCACGGAATAAAAAGACCGGGGAGATTGTAGCCCTGAAGAAGGTCAAGATGGAGAAGGAAAAGGAAGGATTTCCAATGACATCTCTTAGGGAAATCAATGTTCTCTTGTCAATCCACCATCCATCCGTTGTAGATGTTAAGGAGGTCGTTGTCGGGAGCACAATAGATAGTATATTCATGGTGATGGAGTACATGGAACATGACCTTAAAGGTCTCATGGAAGCAATGAAGCAGCCCTTTAGTCAGAGTGAAGTCAAATGCTTGATGCTACAGCTTTTTGAGGGAACAAAGTACCTGCACGACAATTGGGTCCTTCACAGGTCGGTACTCACTGAGTCATGTCTAATGACGACAGCTAAAGTGCTGATGCTTCTCTATTATATGTAATGGTTTTGCGTAATGTGGTTCAATCTGTGTGTTTGTTTGCACGCCAAGTACATGGTAGTGTGATTCGTTCGCATAAGTAGATTTTCATTGTTAGTTGGAAATCTAAAGCTGTGTTGTTCTAAAATCCGCACAGAGACTTGAAAACCTCGAACTTGCTACTGAACAACAGAGGAGAGCTGAAAATTTGTGATTTTGGTCTGGCACGGCAATATGGTAGCCCCTTGAAGGCTTACTCGCAAATGGTGGTTACTCTTTGGTACAGGTAATTAATTACATGGAAGCTCTGTTACCACTTGATATTGATACAGCCTTCTCGCATTCTTTCAATCTACAACTAGGGTATACATGTAACCTACAAGGGCATTTTCTTAATATCTCTCCCGAGACGAAATGTTCCTGGCCACGTTCCTCATGTAGAGGATAGCGTCAACGTTAGAAACCGAAGTGGTCTCAAGTCTGTTGCTTCTTTGTGACCCATTTGGGCAGTAATGTATACAAGAGTTGGGGTGTTCTTTCGTACTGCTTGTTTACGAGGACTGTGATCACGGTCTTAAAAGTCCCGACTCCTATCGTCTCTTGAAACAGGGCACCGGAGTTGCTGCTCGGTTCAAAGCAGTACTCTACAGCCATTGACATGTGGTCATTGGGTTGCATCATGGCGGAGTTCCTGGCTAAGGAGCCGCTTTTCAACGGCAAGTCTGAAATCGACCAGATTGATAAGGCAAGCATCCCTTGCTCCTCTCAAACAAACCCCCCGCGTCAGCGATGAAAAGATTAATCAGCCGTTTAGTTAATATCTTTGGTAGGTGTGTAGTAAATAATTTATTTCTCCAAAGCATGAAGACCATGCTTGGTCTTCATGCTATGTTAGACCAATACTAATGAATAAATTTTCTGCTAGTGGATACAGATTTTCAAAATACTAGGAACTCCAAGCGAAAAAATTTGGCCTGAATTTGTAAATCTACCCGGAGTAAAGTGCAACTTCGTTAGACAACCGTAAGTTTTTTATCCCGCTATGTTTTGCTTGGTTGTCCAAGTGTTTTTCCAAGTCTTTCATGAGTTTCCTCATATTCCACTTAAGTATGCTTAGTTTATGTAATAGCTTGTGACAACAGTATTTTCAAGGCTTCTCCTTCCACATATAGTGTGGCACGTTTTTGTGGATGAGGTTTTACTGAAAGTTGTCGTCAAGGCTTATCGTTACGAGAAAAGTAGGACTTTTCACATACAGTGATTGAAAGAAGATGGAGTGTGAGAGAAACTTTGTTGGAGGATACCTCAGCATCTGAGGTCTTCTTGATGGAATGCGAATGAGTTGACCTTTGACATTTTGGTATTTTCCTCTTAATAGCTACAACCGATTAAGGGAAAAGTTCCCTCCGACAGCGTTTGCTGGAAGACCGACACTTTCTGAGAGCGGATACAATCTACTCAATGGACTACTAACGTATGATCCTAAAAAGGTAAAACGCTTGGAAGTTTTATGAACTTATCGCAACAAGCGAAGGACTAATGTGCTTTTGCCCGGAAATTGTTCTTATTCGAGGAACTATTTCGGAAATGAAAAGTTAGAAACTTCAGCATTTCCGCAGAAATTTCTCGTGAAGTTGTTGGCGGTGGCCGCTAGTCAATCTAAATTAGACCTCAGAGTTATTTGAATTTGTAAACTCCAATTACCTTAATGTTTTTATGGCTGGAAGTCGATGAAAGGGATTAAGCTTATGTTATCGTCCGCTACATTGTGCAGAGACTAACTGCAGAAGAAGCTTTGAAGCATGAATGGTTCAGAGAAGTACCATTGCCCAAGTCCAAGGAGTTCATGCCAACCTTTCCCGCAAGGAGTGAGCACGATAGGTATAAGTCTGTTCTATACTGAAACAGCGTTTTTCAGTAAAAGTAGCTGAGGTTGCTTTTATCTTTGATCACAAACTATGTAGCTTTTAGACAACTGCCTCTTTAATAGTATCATAGAGACACAAAATTGAACCTTGTTATTGTGGTCTATTTATTTTGAATAGCAGGCGACTCCGGAGGCTTATGAAGAGCCCTGACCCTCTAGAGGAACAGCGAAAGCGTGAGTTGCGCCAAGGTGAGCTCGGTGCAGGGGGTCTTTTTGGCTGAGCTTACATAAGCTTACAATTCAGGGAAACGGGCAAGTCAAGTGTGAATGAGGATGACTATGGTGGACAACTCATATCTGCTCTAGGCATGCAGATTATCTAAATTTTGAGTTCTCTTGGAAACGAAGGGGATGGCATTGTATGCTCTCGTGCATATCTTTGACTGGGAGGGCGAAACTCCTCATCAATCTTGGTGTAAGAAATGTAATATACAGAAGCTCTTCTGCACATTGTTTGGAGTTTCAAAAAGTAGGCATACATCAGGTGGTTTGAGATCATCTCCTGAGGTGGATAAATGAAGTTTAGCAACACCTCGCATCATGGCATGACTTTAGTTTGTCGAGTGACTCGACTAGTAGTTATCTATGTTATCCTGCAGTCCACAGTTGGTGGAGTGTGGGCATTATGCAGAGTTAGCATGGTTTAGGAAGTTAGAGTGTTTCTTCAAACTTTAAAGCAGCCGTAATACGTCAGTGGATGTGAGACTGGCATACATTATCTAATTTTAAGCTCCAGCATTTCTCCTGAGTTAGGGGCAGCGATGACCTTCCTTTTGGCATGTGATGATGCTGCAGAAGTGTGAGCTTCGAGCCTACTCTTTCTGTAAGAATTCACGAGGAAATTCAATAGCAGCGCAGTGTTATGCTGGTAGGCCTTGACTTCTTGTGTGGTAGTGACGCTTGGTGGTGAGTAGAGCCTGGTGGACTTGTTGCTGACCTCATCCGAAGTTGAAATCAGGAGCAGCACCCAACATACAAGGTAAACAGTCATACGGCTTTCCCAGATCTGAATAAGGCTGTTAAAATAAATTGTTGTTGGGGGTTGGCAAGTTCTGAGTACAACTCCTGGTTCAATTTAACAGAAGCCATCAGAAGCAAGCCCAAGCGTAGAATGATGGGTATGTACCTTTCGGTAAGGCAGCATCCAAGTGTTCAGCTTTGTCTATGGAAGGGCAGCTCACAAGACGTAATTTGACATGAAGAGCCCGTCTGATTGGATATAGGGCCTTTTAGACCATCTCTGTAGGATGATGACATTTATGATACTTCGTTCGACTTGAAGCTGTACATCTTGTCTTATGATCGACATTTCAAATTTTGCTTCGATAAGTCTGAGGCATCAAGGTTCCTCCTTTTTTGGGAAATTAAGAGTGGCCTGTACATGTCGTTAGAGATCAAGTGGAAGATAAATCTTGGTAAGCCATTTTCGTGACTAGACCGTGCATGATTTTCTGTGGATACAGATTTAGAATGAAGCCTTGTAACCTGAACAATTGAATTCTGCGAGTAGCGTATTTTTGTTATGACGAGATAGCCCGTAGATTGCTTAGTTTACTAGATGGAATATGCCTCGATACGCTTTTGTACGTATTTTGTCCCTTTCTAAGCTTCTTAAGAATGCTGACGTACGACCTTTTGAATTTGCAATTGGTCCTTGTTTCTACAAGGTTTACATCATTTGGAGAGGTCTCGAATATCGTGTGGAAGTGTTCATAACGAAGTTGGGGAGAATGTGACATGGTTGCCTGTAAGCTCTTAGTGGTAAACTGTGCAGAATTTGTCCTGTCGTATCAGGTTTAGAGGAAGAGATCGTAGAGATATGCATGATCGGTGCTCAATTGTCATGCATTCCCTTCTTTAGCTGTTGCGAAAGAGTTGTTCAGCGATCTCGAGAGCGATCTCTCGCGGTTCGTCATTTTGTCACCAAGCAAGTGTGTACCGGGAGGTGATCGTTTCCAGTATGGGGACTGCTGCCTTTCGTCGTTTATCTTCGGATGGTAGACCCCTTTGCGGATCTGGGCGGTTTGGGAAAGACTGAAGGGAAGGGGTCGTCCATTGTAAATTCCAGTGTGATACGCAAACTGTCAATTTTCACCTATGCACAAGTCTCTGAAGCTTGTTTGGCCCGGAGAATAATTTCTTGGATTTTGAAACTGTTAAATATTGAATGATTTCGCTCTCAGAGCTTGTTATCGCCGTTGTTTTATGTGAGAATGTTACGAACCCTTTTTGCAGATGCACTGGATTGGGTCAAGGTTGAGATGTGCTTACTACACAATTCTACCGAGAAAACAATCGGTTTTGGAGGTACTTGTTCCTTCCGGTCACGAGTGTACTACGACGCATATGGTGAGTCGAAATATGCAGTACACCTGCAAATGTTGTCCTTCCTTTTTTCCTAGAATTTTTAAGTTGTACTACATCGGAAGTTTTGCCAGGACAGTTGTTCGTCGGGAAGATACTGTTCGAAAATTACAACCGCCCTGCTCAAGGCTTTGACAACTTTTATGTCTCGGGTTGGTTTATCTTGTATATTATCTCCATGTTTCTATCTCGTAAGATCTTCAATCCGTCACTCATCACTCATGTACAACCCGAAGTTTCATGGTCTTTGTTTACAATAATCACAGAGCTCACACGGCCCCGCCCATCAGGTAATTTTATAACTTTTTCATTAGTTTGGAATTTCACCTTCAGTTAATCTTGTTTAATATACTGTGAAGGACGAGGTGATGCAACATCTACCTTCTGGACTGAACCTGCGTAGGCTCATTTGTCTGCTTTGTTGTCGTCATTTGCTGAGATAGTGAAATTGCTTCGATGTTTTGAGCAGGCATCAGCAAATTCGAGCAACTGCTTCCGATGTTAAAAGAAGAAAGAAGTCAGTGATATTAGTGAGAAAATAATTTTACGATAATACATCTAATAATGCGATTGTTATGGCTTCACTGCTGACAGGTCTTTTTCCCAGCGTAGATGCTTCGATCTCTTGAGAGCCTTTTTTAATTGATAGTGGAAGCTTTTCGTGGAGGCAAGTCATATGGTTGGAGAGGGGCAGTAAATTTGTGTCTGCGTTCATCTTCCTCACGTCGTTGCGTGATGACCAAATGTTGATTAATGTTAAGATCTTTTCGTCATGATCTTATCATCAATCAACATCAATCAATATTTGGTCATCACACAACGACGTGTCAGCCCAAGGCATGTTAGCTCAAGACGTGTCAGAGGCAAAATCATGTGAAATATCTGGGAAAACTTACCAATTAACTTCATTTGTTTTGTAGATTTTTGACGGTCCCGTTCTTCGCGAGATAGAGGACCCTCAACAAGAGACACTGACGATGAGTAGAACTGCCTCTGTTTCAGCAACAGTGTCAAGTGGATTTCTCAGTAGGGCTCTTCTTGAACGGATTAGAATTATTATCGTGTTTATTGGAGTAGAGACTTGTACGACGGAGGGTGGGGTTGGTTTCTTGTCGTAACATATTCTATGAAAGTTTTGTCCCACAATGAGATTAGCTCTCATGTTCTACTATTCTGCTTGTTTATCACCGCTACGGGTAACGAAAGGAAGAGAGTTGATACCTTGCTCGAAGGAAACTTGGCTATCCAGGCTAACTCTCAAGTGTTTTCAATGTGGTCATTTCGCGCATCCCACCAAGTTCCAAGTGGTAGGTTCTTGAAACTTGGTGAAAGTTGAAAGTATGTGGGTAGTGAATGGTAACGGTGTGAAGTAAAGTGTACGGTAAGTCTTGTTGGATTGAAAATTATCCCGAACCTACATCCACGCTACCTGTTAGTAAACGGAACTCGAGGCTTAGCTCGTCGTGAAGCTTACAGAGGTGTTCTGTACACCCGCTTCGGGATGACAAATTACACGCTACAATTTTTTATCATCAGTACATGCTCCTGTACGGAAAACAAGAGTTATCTGGTTACACATCACAATCATGGTAAAAGATCAAGCCCGGGGACCCAAGCAATAGAATGGTAACTAAATATGTCTTTTTTATAACAACCTAGATAAAAATGAATGAACTGCATCTAAGAATAGAAATTTTCCATAATATTGATATGGAAATATTATAAATAATGTCAACATTATGAGCAAAGTCTAAGGTATTCATAACTAGAAAAAGTAATAAATACATACTCTTCATTTTCAATGTATACACCTTCACAAAATTTATAAAGAAGATCACTCTTATCAATATTAAGAAAACGTCACATATTTTACAAATACGTACATTCCTATCAATATTAACTCACTTTATTGCGTCAATTCTAAGCCTATAAAATAAAGTTCTATGTCTAGCAATAATATGACGCAAGGACTCAAGATTCCCGCAAGTAGACAATGTTGTTCACAATAAACAAGTATAGGATTCATGTGAAGTTGATAAAATTGCATCTTGGAACCGCGCTTGCTCCAAATAATGTTCAGAAACTACTCTTTTAGACGTTCACGTAGTGCTATAAGTTGCAAGTTACATCACATTCCACCTCAAAGATCAAGTTATCACATCCGCTAATCATCCTTTGGCACGCGAGGCACTCAAATGTGTTATGAGTAACGCGAGAAGCATCAAAAGATCTCACCCTTCTGATATAAGTTATGGTCAAGTATAGAACTTCAGACTTTAGAGGTAAATAACTTGTTTCAGCAAAAAGAATAGCATATGAAGTTTAGTTTCTCCCCCCCCAATTCTTCTTGTAGAAATATCTTCATCATCCTGTCCACACGCTCCCAATTTTTCTTCTTACAACCAGAAGCCCACACTTGGGATCCATATAATACTATTGGCAACATTAAACTTCTAAATAAAAATTTCCTAAGATTCCAAAACACGAGATGATTCATTCTATATCGATTTAGCAATGAATATAGATCTTTGTAACTATCTTTTACACGCAAAGTGCACAACTATAATCATTGGAAAAATCAATGCCTAGATATTTAAAACTCTTCAACTCTTCTAATTGTAGATCCTTGTAATAGAGGAAGAATTTAGCTCTAGTGCCCACTATCATGACTTTAGACTTCTCAATATTTAACTCCATTTGATTCTCGGTATAAAAGCTAGCCAAAGTGTATAGGTGTTTATGTAAACTAATTGCATCACGTGTTAGTAATATGATATCATCTGCATACAAGAGAGCTTTGATAACAAAGTTTCCAAGCTTAACACCTTCATTATCACATGCTTCCAACCACTCTTCAATATCATCTATAAAAAATCCAAATAGAGTAGGAGAGAGAGTACAATCTTGAATCACTCTAAGGGTACTCAAAACCTCTTCAATTTGAGAAGTGTTGATCATGGCTCGAACAGAATGGTATAACGTGACCACCACTGCTAGAAGATCTGATGGTACTCCAATAACTTGCAGCCTTTACTATAATAGTTCACGAGGTACGATGTCAAAAGCTTTCTTAAACTCAATGAAGGCGCAAAACAAAGCTTTTTCATTGCCCTTCGACTTCTCCCATAAAACACGCAAGGCCAAGATATGATCAATGGTGTTGTATGTAGGGCAAAAATCTGCTTGAAACCGCGCTCTCTTTCGATGAGATTTAATCCATGTGCTCAACTTTGACTCCATCAATTTGCCAAACAACTTTAACAAAAACACTACTCGTCATGATAATGCGACAGTTTGTCACCAAGTACTTACTTCTTGACTTGTGAATAGACACAATCTTACGCAAAGATCAAGTTGAAGTAAAATCATACATAGCAGCATTCTCTAACGCTTTAGTGAGTATTGGTCCAATAACATCTCCTCACCACTTCAAAAGTTCAACAGAGAGACCATTCAAATCCTCTGATTTACCATTTGCTAATTTTCTGATTTGAGTTATCATATTTGATTTAGAAAATTAGCTAAATGTTCCTTCACAACAAGGTATTGATGCAGCGTCGGGAAAGAAATAAAGCTTTTCAGCAAAGTCAATTAAAATCTTGGGATCAAGAGTAGATTTAGAAGAACGTACAGTCAACTGTCTCCAAAAAGATTTGGGATTCTTCATCAACTCATTTGTCAAGAATTCTTACTTCGTCCTCAAAAAATCTCGTTTCTTAGACTTCACCAAGTCTTTGTAAAGCCTTGTCAACATAAACCGACTTTGGAGATCCAAAGACTTGTCAACTGATCTCATACTTGCTTGCTTACAATCAAAGTCAAACCATCAATTGCAAGAAAGCCCCATAGCTCTTCGATCCTTATGCCGCAAAAAGAACTTAGAAGTAATGTCTTTGAGCAACTCGGTTAATTGCCCAATCCCTGTATATGCATCAAGGCTCCATGAAGTGTGGATCAAAAGATTTTGAAAATGTAACATGTAATGCTATTTCTTACTAGGATCTAAACAAAACTTGGGAGAAACTAAAACAGAATGGCATGTAGAGAGAGGGATTATTTTTAACAACAAGAAAGTAAATAAGAGAGTTGCATGATCTGATTTTGGCTAAGTATAGAATATCAAATTTTGAAATAAGAGAGCTATTAATGGCCGAGGATAGAAGATAATCAATAGTTCTAACACCTGTAGAAGGAAAACACGTATTGGAAAGGGAGTTGGGATAGAGAGATATCATTGAGAACTTTCAAATTGCATGTGGCTCCAAAGGTTAGAAAATGTTATGTCAAAGGATTCTTATAAGTATCAGAAGAGTATCCAGAGCACATATTATCTTCAAGTTCTTCAAAGGAGGGAGAATTGAAGATATTATCAACTTGGGTAAATTATGCACAACATATTCGAGCATTGAAATCTCTAACAAGAAAAACTTAACCTTTAATCTGATAATTGAGAACATCTACTATAAGTCGATGAAATGGTTGACTCTGATTGCAAGTGCGTGTGGAGTAGATAGACATGAACAATGGTGCAAAGTAACAATCATTTGAGATAGCCTCAATAGCGCAATAAAATTTGACTCATAGTGCTGATGACTTAACATAAGTATCTAGATTATTTAGCAAGTCGTAAGAAGGTGATACTTTTTCATTTGGACCAGTATTTCCTCATCATTAAAGTCAAATGGCTTTTTGGAAACTAAATGTAAACTTAATATTGAATGTTGAAGTGAATAATCAACTTTTTTTGCACAACTAATAACCAATTTTTTTGAAAACTCCCATAAATAATAAAACATCACAAAGATCATAAATCTAAAATCAAAAGTTTAAGATTTTTTATTGATAGTCAAAACACTAGAATAATTGATTGAAGAAAAATTGACATTTTGAATTATACATGGTATAATTCAACACATTTATCTTGTTCATAATTTTGGAAATATTGAATAAACAGGTTGATGGAAAATTCTAAGAGGTTGATCTTTGGTTTACTTCATCAATCATGTCTTTTTTCTTCTTACTTTAACAGATTGAGCTCAATATAGATGATTAGACAATCTAATAATTGATTCCTCTATATTTTTTAGAATTTTTTGAAAATTATATATTTTTTGTCCTAATTTATCATTTATTATCTTTAGAAACTAAAAAAGCCATGTTGAAAATTGAAATTCATTAATTGTGAATCAAGACTTTTTCTATTTTAGCATACTTCTATTTGAAGAGAAATAAATGTTTTTCTTCATCAAAACTTGTAAATTCGAAAAAAAGTTGTGACTTTGATGAAATCTTTTTTTCACATTTGAATTTGACATTTGAAAATAGTTTATAATTGACTGATAAATTTGTGTCCGAAAGAAAGTGATTAAATTTTTTAATTATTGAATATAGCTTATAAACAAAGCATAATCTAAAGGTGAAATCATGCTGTAAAAGATCTTGAGCTTTATAAAGTTCATTTTATAATAATACAGTATGAAATTTTTGGTAATTCATATAATTTATTACCATGTTATGCAAAAAATGTGAAAATTTATTTATACCAATATAATTCATATTCAGCTTAATGAATATATTTAGTTATAAAATTAAAATGAATGATCAAATTAGATACTCACATCACTTTGAATGAAACTATTATTCTTAAAAAACGCTCTATATTCTTGGTCATCATGTACGGTTATAAAGTATAACCAATAAGCTTTTCTCTATCTTCATAGCCAACGTGCTTAAAAGCTCTTTCTCGAAGTGCTTTCATACAAATGAACTAGAAGTTATAAAATGGATGTAGATTAGTCCTCATATGCTATTCTTCTTGCGGAAACAGATTGTCTACCTTTTGAGGCTGAAGCTCTCTTTTTGACTATCACTTACGTCAAAAGAGTGAGATCTGTTGATGCTTCTCGACTTACTTTTGAAGCTTTACGTGCCACACGTCCCAAAGGGTGGTTTGCAAATGTGGTGACTTGATCTTTGAGGTGGAATGTGATTGAACTCGATTGGAATTAGCAACCTATTGTACTATGCGAGCGTATCAAGGAGGAATTTTTCAGCATTATTTGGAGCAGACGAGACACTAAAATGGAGTTTTATCAACTTCATGTGAATCCTATGCTTGTTTATTTTCAGCAAGGATACATACTTGCGGAGATCTCTACTTCTTTACGTCATATTATTGCTAGGCATAGAACATGATCTCATAGTCTTGGGATTGAAGAAGCACGTTGGTTGAACATTGATAGAAGTGAACGGATTTGTAGGCTATGTGATGGAAGAAAAGTTGAGTATGAAGAGCATGCATTTCTTACTTGTACTAGATATGTAGAGATTAGAGTGCATCATAAAGTTGTTGTTGAGAATTTTTATTCTTTGCTTCATCTACAGCCTTATGATTTAGATTGTTACATGAGAGATGTTATTAGTTA